TTTTTTTACAAATTGCCAAAAGTTCCTCAGTGTATACTGATTTTCTAATATCAAGAAAGACAATTGAAAAGTAATAAAGCTGAAGATAGAATAAATAATGAATATCTAATTGGACAGCCAAAAGGAGCACTCACTATTCTTGATGAATATGATAAATTTAATATTGCATTACTATAATAGAGATCCAATTTTCAAGAATACAAAAATAAATAAATAAAATAAAAACAAAAATTATGTCTACATATCTGGACATTCTTTATATTTTGATTTACTATTATAAACTTCTGAATTAAAGTTTAAGGTTTTTTTCATCTTTACAATTGTCAAAACCAACAATCATTTGTATTTATGTTACAATTTGATTCAAATATTAAATAATTTTTTAATTTTAACTAAAGTTAATTTCAATAAACTTCGCTTTAAAATGTGCTACATGTAATTGTATTATTTTTTTATTTGAGTTTTAAACAAATAATGTTAATGAAATTTAATGTATTCATTAACACGATCTAGTGTTAGTATTGTATTTAAATATAAACCAATGTGAATATAAACATCTGCAATATTTGCAAATTAAACAAAAAGTTCTTTAAAATTTTAATTACTAATATTATTAGGCTAGATAATTTTGGACCTAAATTTCATTTAAGCATATTTGCTTATTATTAAAAAAGAAATTCTTTAATAGCGAATAAATTCGATCCAAAAAAACAATATTTGAGATAAATATAAATATAACTGATCAAAAATATGAATTAAGAATCTCAGAAATTTTCCTCGTTCATAATTACAAAAATCATGGGATCACATCTTTTTACAAAGCACTATAATTATAATGATCACGAATTCTAATTGAATTGCAACTAGAGATGGGACAAACAATATGAAAAATAAGTAATTCTAAATTGTTGCATTACAAAGAAAAAATATTTCTTTTTAATGATTCACGGGGTATTATATTTGAATTTTTAAGTCCTATTTCTAATTGCAATAGTACCAAAATAACGCCAACACATGTACTCTAAATAGCGTGCATATACTCCAATCACGTTATACAGTATATTGTATTTTAATGAGGTTTTTAATAAATAAAAAATTTTGGAACATTAGAATTTTTCATAGAATTATGCAAAAATTAACTTTATTATACATTAAAATTTAATTAGAGCTTGTATGAAATATAAATTTTCATATGGTCTTGTTTCTTAAGAAACATAAAAATAATTTAAAAATTATTTTTTAGTTTGGGTTTAACTTTTAAATTCGAACCTCTAGATAATTTTCTAAATTATTGTAGCAAAAAATATATATATTTAATTTTAAATAAATACTAATATTATATTCCTATATTACTTTACATAAAACAGAATCTTAATTCTTCCTATACAGCAAAGTTTTTATTTTCAAATATCTTTTTTTGTATAGCATATGGATATGCAGTTATCCGGATATATAGTTGACAGGGTCCAAACTCTTCTCTGTAAATCTTTTCTAAAAAAATTTACTGATTTCCAATATCAGATATAGAGATGTGATATAAAAGTAGTTTCTGCTTTAAATTGATTTTGGTAAAGTTAAAATTATATACTCAATACAATATTTTAGATCTCCAAAATACGTACTCTAATATTTTTATTTCGAAAAATATTTTATTAGCATGCACAAGAAGCATAGTAATAATTTTAATGACTTGAATAGCATATCATTTACCTACATTATTAGGACGACATATTTTTTATATTAATTCTATATTTGGATTTTTTTATAAAAATATTCTGAGAGTCACACTTCTCAATAATTCATAACTCAGTAAGTTGGAAATTTTCAGAGTTGCAATAATGCTGGCCAAACTTTTAAAGCTAGATATTTACATAAAAATAGATATATTTTTAGGATTGAAACCAGTTTTTTAACAGCGGCTAATTTTCTTGAAACTTTATTCATATAATCAGACATTCTAAAATTGTTATTTGGCTTTTGAATAGTTTGTACTGTATTATAATATTTTATTAAATATCTAAAAGATAGGATAAATTAAGAGAAAAATTGATATAATCAGGATTTGTGATTTGTTTTGTTGTTTTTGTATATTTTTGAAAATCTTTAATTTTATTTTTATATTGTTAAAAGAATAAATTTATATATTGTTATGCTCATA